TAAAGCCTTCTGCCTTTTTCACATTAAAAATGAGGACAGATTGATGCTTAAAACTTTACTGTAGTTAATGTTTAGGATATTCAGCTGGGTTGGCTCTTTATTAAGAGAGAAGATAGCGGTAGAGAGACTCATGTTTTCTTCTAATGTTACAGAAACTATTGTGGCAACAGGTGCTAATGTCACTAATTTTAAAACATTTGGGATGACCGTCTCAAAAAAAAAAAAAAAAAAAAAAAAAAGAGAGAGAAAATGCAGGAGACAAAATGCAGCCTGTGTACTAAAACTGTTAAGGGAACAGTGTGAATTGAAATAGAAGGGTGGTTAACTTTTTTGAAGTTCCTTTGTGCTACAGTACAGGTGCATTGTGTGATCCTATGTTAGCACTTTTTGGTCTAACAGTTTTCCTAGGTAAAAAGCATGGGAAGTGAAGGAATTAAAAAACAAAAACAAACAAAAAAAATCCACCACCACCACCAACAAAATCTATATGTTAGGCAGGGGGATTCCAGGAGAGACCTAGATCTAAGACAGTTGTAATGCTTTTACTGAGGTTTCTTCAAGAGGGAGTTGCCTGTGTGCAGTTGGTGACTCCACCTCTATTCAAGGAAACAGAAATTGTGTACATTATGTAAATAAACGAATGACACCAAAATACCTTTATTTTGATCAAGAAATCAGTGATGAAACTGAGAAGGTCTTCTACCACTCAGCAAAGGTGTAACAGTATACTCACAAGTCCTCATTACTTTGAACAAAAATAGGAAAGACAGCAGCAAATGTCAGTGAAAGTTTTAGCTGTAGCACAATCTTTAACCCTTTTAACTGTAGTTTCTTGTCTGTAAGTTGTCTGACTCCCAATAGTGAATAGGGTTGCCAGGTGTCCGGTTTTGAACCAGACAGTCCAGTATTTGAGCTTTCTGTTTGGGAAACAAATTGAGAAAATATAAATGTCCGGTATTTTCTAAGTAAGATGTAATGTAGATTGTGATGTAATGTCAAGTGTGTCCGGTATTTTTGTTGAAACCATCAGGCAACCCTATTAGTGAACCATGGCCTAGAAACCTCAGAGCCTGAAACTAAGCTTTTTCTCAGTCATACCAACAGTTTTGTACTCCGCACTGATTGAGGTTTAGGCCAGACATGTCTAGGAGTATAATTACCCATTGTCCTTCTACCACTCAACAAGTGAACTCCTCAGCCAACTTTTGTCACATTTTCCCTTTTCCCTCGCTTTCTCCTTTGCACATTTTCTCCTTTCTCTCTCTCTCTCTCCCTAAATTTCCATTCTGCAGTACTTCTCCTTCCATCAGGCTTTCTAATATTTTTCCTCCTGCTCTCTTCTTGCCACGCTCATTGTTTCTTATTCATCCTCAGTCCTTCATGTGACTGTATTAAATTTATAATGAAACTGTTCAATGTGTTTAGATTTACCTTGGTATTACTCAAATAGAAATACTTTTAGGATACTACTAATTGTTAACTTGCAGATTACAAATGAGTTTGTCAATCACACGAATACCTTGCCATCTCTGTGCACAATAAATGTGGTAAAAAAAATTGTCCAAAAGACTTCAGGTAATCTGAAGCCAAGGGACTATTGATCTTCAAAGAAACACACACATTCTCTCTCTCTCTCTCTCTCAATGGAAAAAAAGGTTAAACAGGATGGGGAGTGTGCTATTTTTCAGTTTTAATTGGCCCATTGGGGCTTTGTGTTAGGGGGGGAAAAAAAGCTGCAGATTGAAAAGTATAGTTCTGCAATGAAAAAAAAATTGTAACTCTAATTAACAAGCTCGTTGAGAATTATTTTGTTGTATTTTTCAGTGTTTTTTCCAGAAGCCTGGAGTTGACTACTTACATCTATGTATGGGATAACTACAGGCTCTTTGAAATGCTATGGGACTCACCATGGACTTGGTATTTGACATTCCTAGGAGTAGATTTTGGATACTACTGGTTTCATCGCATGGCGCATGGTAGGGTTTTTTTTTATTTTGTTTGTGTATATACATATTCCATTTATGTATTCTCAGCAATCTACGAAAATTCTCTTGAATGTTGAGTGGGGAAAACTGATTTTATAGTTTGTTTTTTAAAATGTAAACATGAATTTAGTAAAATGTAAGACTTAGAATTTTAAAAATATTGTTCCTATGCTCAAAGAATACCACAGAAGGAAACATTTGGGCAGAAATGTGGGTAGGACATTAATTCTATACGTACTTCTCTAATTTTTACTTCTGGCATTAGTTGAATATTCTGAATAGAGTGGCATAATGGGTTGAATATAAAATTGTATCAGCATACTTGATATTTTTTTATTACAGTAATTCGCAGATAGGGACCTGGATTCCTTGTGTTAAGCTATGTACAGTATCAACAAAGTCTTTGCTTACAATTTCAAAAGAGATATACACCTATGTAAAAATGGTGGGAAGTAATATGTAAACAAAGTACTAATGAACACAGCTTGTTAATTTAATCTTTTTGCAATATATTCAGTCTGTACTTAGTTTTTAGGAAAGGGGAAATATTAAAATATGTTTATGCCCAGTTTTAAAACAGGTTTTGTTTATAGTTAACACACAAATGTACAGTTACTTTAATTTAACACTTGCCTATTTATAATTATTTAAAATTCATACTTAATCCAAGCTTCCCTCTTTCTCATAAAAAAGTAAAAGGTTTAAAAAGAATAAATCTGTTATTTATTCTGATGGTGAGGGTCCCTGTAAATACTTTGGAAGACTGGATAGATAGATATTTCTGTACATGCAGTATATTTTTAAATATTTGTCCCTGGGTTAATACCTGATTTAGAACTTGTCTATAAAGTCCTGAAGTTCAGACTACAGGGTATATTAACTGCAGAGAGTACTACATGTTACACTGTAACTCTCCTGTGTGGATATTGAGGGCCCAAACTAAAAAGCAACTACTTCGCATTAACATGATCCTGCCTGAAAGCAGACTAATTTAACCCGAACTAGGTACTTTTAAAATTTGTACCAGCAACTCATGTGAGTTATGTCACAGCACGCTATTATTCAGACACCCATAATCCAAATTTCAGGACTCTGTAGACATAGCCACAAAATGGATCACACTCATAATTAAAATGTTGAGTGGTAAACATCAATATGAAGAGTGTTGAAAAAATCAATATCATAATAGGGAAATTGCTAAACAATGTATTATTTCAGAACTGAATAAGCAAAATCTAATGAAAGGCATTTTTAAAAAGCCTCTCAAAAACCACTCAACATCTCGATATATTTGGGCACTGAAATGTAATTGTGAGTTCAACAGCTAGGGTTGCCAGCTGTCCGGTATTCACTCAGACAGTCCAGTATTTGCAGACTCTGTCCGGTAAAAAGCAAACAGGAAATACTGGATATGTGAAGTGTCCGGTATTTCCTGTTTCCCTCAGACAGAAGCCCAGTGGGGACAATTTTCCCATGCCACACCTGGTGGGGGCGGGGGAATGAGGAGCACGGCAGAGTCGTAGTGAAGGGGGGCTGGAGGGGACACTTGCCGGGCTGGGCTGGGGTGGGAGCGGAGGGCACGCTGCTCTGGCCCATGTGACCAGCAGAGACCCGGGAGCTGGTCACGTGATGCCTACCTCAACAACAGCCATGGCCAACCCATGGCTTTTGCCCCCCCAAAAGTGTGGCTTGTGAAGCTGCCCCTGTGCACCCCTCCCCCCCCAACAACCCCCATCAGCTCCCCCCCTCCCAGCTTTCCTGTGCTTACCAGGTGGAGCTGCGAGGTTTTAAAAATTGCACTAAAGATGGTGGCTGTCTTAAAGGGGCAGCCTCCTTTTTACAAATTTTTTTTATATATATAAATTTCTTTTTTGCTCCACAGTTCTGTTCTGGGGGAGGAGGTGTGCTTTTTTTTGTTTGCGTAACAACTTCTCCCCCTCAACAGAATTCCCCCCCCTTTTTTTTTGGGTGGGGGGGGAGTGTGTTTGGTATTTTTTGATTAAACCATCTGGCAATCCTATCAACAGCTCTTGTTGATTGTAATAGAACTTTAGTGAGAGACTCTGTGAAATTCGGGAGCGGGCCGTCCAATGGCAAGACCAGTTATAAGAATGGTATACCCGAGTAAATGGAGTTTTAAAAGATATGAATGACAGCACTAATTATCCCAAAAGAGTAAAGGACTATGACTTCCTGCATTTGAAAGTTGTTTTCTTACTGATGTTTGAGATAATACAGTTGCATCTACAATTAAGATTTAAATTCATTCTGTTCTGATATAAAAGTTAATGGAATGTTGAAAGGACTATACACCTCACAAGGATACATTGTCATTTGTGGGACTGTTAATTTGATGATAAACAACAATATGAAGTGGTGTGCGATCTTCGGGATTGGAAATGTGATCAGAAAAAGAATGTTTACTCATCAGGAGAGAATTGCTTTCCTCATGAAATCCCCAAAATTTGGGGATATGCCAACTGTCTCACAAAGCAGTAGCTTCAGTTTTTGAACATTATCCATTTCATATATGAAAAAATGAAACTGACTGCACGAATGAACACCAGTTCAGTGCTGTTACGTTTAGGAGTGATATCTGACATAATGCAGACTGAGAAAGATGTGATTCTAGCAAAGAAAAAATAGGAAACAGGGTGAGGTGTTAAGCATCTGGGTAGTAGTCTGCTCTCATTCTTCAGGAGGCCCTGGAAACTGCTTCTTGCAGTGGGAATTGATCCCCAATGATAAAAGGAAATATATATGCATTTTTAGCAATTTAATCTCACCCTATAGACAAACATACATTTCAAAGCATATGTATGAATATTTTAAATGATAAAGGATCATGTTCAGTGTTAACAGGCCAAAATATTATCCTTCCCACACACACACATTGCCAAATCAATATATATATATTTATTTTAAGAAGTTAATCTGAAAATTGTCAGCCTTTCAACACAAAGGATAGCATTGTAATACTAGGTACTTGCAATTATAATGTTTATCCAATATATTTCCTTGTGCTGAGACCTCCAGAAAGGGAGTGGTAACATAGAATAATGGACTCCAGCTTGTTTTGCTTTTAGCTTGTGACTGTACTAGTATATGCCTGTTGCTTAAGAAGGGCTATGGATTCCTATATTAGGTCAGTAGCTGTGTTAGTATCTGCTCTGGGAGTGGTAAACTCACCTAAGATGCTTAGTTTGTTGCGATACGCACAGATAATCACTATCCACTTTTCCCTAAAAGGGTACGTCTGCACTACAGAGGAAGATTTCTACGCTACAGAGGAAGATTGAAGCTGCTGCTGTCAAACTTCCAGGGTTCAAATTAGCGGTCTAGTTAAGACAGCCAATTTGAAGTGAGAGAGGCACTCCCATTGATGCTGGTAACCCTACTTTCACGAGGAGTAAGGGAAATTGAAGGAAAAGAGTTCTTCCTTTGACTTCCTGCAGTTTAGAAAGTGCCAAAAGTTAAGCTACATCAACTTCAGCTACACAGTTAACATAGTTCAAGTTGCGTATCTTAACTCGACTTTGTCCCATAGTATAGACATACCCTGTGACGGTAGAGTGAGCCAATAGGTGGCTGTAACTAGAAAGGCTCCCTTGTGCTGAAGAGTTTGGTGGACTGGAATAGAATAAAACTTAGGTCACATTTTGTATTAAATTTTCATTTGTAATAGTTTATAAAAGATTAATAAATGATTAAGAGATGTTATAAACATGTGGCAGACCCAAGTAGTATCTGTTATAGTTAGAAGTACATCAAAAGAAATTATATATAGTTCTAAGCCATGGTGGTTGACCTTTTGTTGACTTGCTAGACTCAGTACCAACTGATCAGCCATTTACTTACACACCCCTATTCATAATGTATTAATCTTTTTATAACCTGCTTATAAATAGGGACGTAAAATGTGTTTAAAATGTAATTATGTAACTGTTAAAAAATCATAGCGGTTACACATGCTGCCGGCACTGCAGTATAAAGCTGAAATAAGTCTGTGGCTGAGACATAGGTAAGAGAGATTCCAAGTGCACTTGTGTGAAGGCAAGTTGTATTATGGCCCTAAGTTATGTATTTTTTCCATAAGTCATTACGAATTGTAAAATATTTGAGCATTCAAAAAGTAATGGCAGGAGGGGAAGTCTTTTAACTCATCCAGTAAAACAGCTAAACACAGATTTTTAAAAGCTGAAATGAATGTCAACCATCATTTATAGACTCCATCCTTTCTCCCTCCTTGCCGTCAGTCGCCTCTGAAATTGGTTTGTCTAGTACAGAATCGTGTAATGCCACATACCTGAGATACTACAATTGTGTAGTACTTGCTGCTGACTATTAGACTTGCCTGACAATCATCTAGTTAAAAAATATTTTTTGTTGAATTAAGTGCTCAGACTACAGCCACCATCAAGCAGCTCGACTGAACAATTAGAGAAGGGAGCCACGGAGATTCTGGCTCAAAAGAGCACTGACTACAAATAGGGTTCCCAGGGGTCCAGTTTTTAACTGGAAAATCAAGTAGAAAGGAGACCAATAGAGTGTTTGGTTAGATGTGTACTAACTGGACACCAAAAGTCTGGTTACCACTGGTGGGTGGGAGGCTCTGGATCATCAACCCATGCCAGACCCTGCTGAGCTTGAGCCATCTCTTTTATGCATCTCATGGGAAGGCAGGCTCTGTGTCAGGGACTGCAGCTCGCATCCGAGCTCTGAGACAGAAGGAGCTCAGCTTGGGAAGCAGGGAGGAGGGAGAAAAGGTGGAAAGGATGGAATGAAGGGGGAGGCTGAAAGGGAGAGCAATGAATGATCTGGGCAGGTCTTGGAGAGAAATGGGAAAGGGGTAGAGCCTCAGGGGAAGAGGCAGGGCCAGGTGAGGCCCGGTGCTCCTCCTGTAATGTCTGGTTTTCAGAAATTAGACAGTTGGCAACAAAATTCCTAATAGTGGGACACATTCAGCAACACTGATTGGCTGGGAAGCTCTC